GTTGTGGTGCTTGCTTTGCCCTGTGACACTTTGCTGTGGGTCACCAGGCGGCTCCTCAGTGCAGTCAGAAGATCCCTGTGCCTGATCCTTCCCTATCGCTTTTGCCGTTTTAGCCAGAGAGAGGTAGTTTTCAACTCAATCCTGAAAATATTCCAGTGGAAATAAAGCTTGCTAATAATGGGCTTCTCCTTTTTTTTTTTTTTTCTTTTTTTTTTTTTTTTTCCTCTAGCTGCCTTTCATAGTCCAGCTAGTTGTGTCCCGTTGACGTTCCATGGACGCCCATGTAAATTGGGTTGAAAACTGCCATGCTGATTGGTATCTGGTCAGTCTGCAGGAGGCTGCCAGAAATTCTCAGCATAGCTGGGTTATTTCATTCCCTTCCTGTTGATCAGATAAAGCTTTCCAGGACTTACATTAGGAGATGTATACTGAATATTGATATTTCCATGTTTTTCCTGCTAGCACTTGCTTTGGCAAGTTTTGACAGGCTTGTTTTAGATTTGAGCTGTATGAGAGTGTGGCAGGAGCAGCACTGGTTCATAGCCTGTTAATCAGAAAACAGCACATATTCTCCCATCTCTGTTGCAAAGGGAGATTGAATATGTGATGTTATAATCAGTTATGCTTTACACATACAGAAATGGAATTCAAAATGGTCTCTCTTAAAGTTTCAATCTATATCCCCTATTTTGTTTTTTTAAGACATATCTATCTGCCTTACCTAGTTTAGCGGCTCCTAGTATAACCAGACTGGTAATGTATGTTTGTTTCCTCTTGATAAGCAATATTAAAGTTAACTTTTTACTCTTATCAGCTATTAGCATAGTGTCAATGAACTGTAGTCCAGAGAAGTTGTTTTCCAAAGTATCTCTGCGAAGGATGTAAGAAGTAAACTGAAACCCCTGAAAAGTTGCAGTACTTGTTTGTGGTCTCATTCTTCTATTCAAATTGTTTTAATATAACTGCCAAAATGTGAGGTTTGTTGAGCTTATATGCCAAAATGTAAGCTCTTCCTGAAGTTGAATGCTAATAGACCTCTAAGAGAGGAAACGGTTGCAAAGGCTAAATACTAACACAGTTGCTTTGCAAGTCATACCCATGTACTTGACAATAGTGTGAGTAATTACATGGAAGTAAGTAGGATGGGCTTAAGCTTGGTCTAAGTTTTATAACATCCAAACCACAGATACCCTGCAGCTACCAGGAGAATGAAGGTCTAACTCATTTAGTAGCTGATTCTTAATGTTTTCTTCAGGAGTTGCTAGGGCAGGTGGTTTAAAAAAGAATCCTTGATATGGCTCATGTCAGAAACAGTTACTCCATTTATATAGGGTATAAAAGCATGTTTTAAGTGTTCATTACATTCATTACAGTGGCAACTGTGTTATAATTTATTTACATCCCAAATGTGTATGTTATATATTTTTTGGCTGTACGTGCAATGCCAAATGCCCTTCAGGTACAAAAGAAAAGGGCTTTACTCTGAGACGTCCTTAAGACTGATGCACTCATGATTGCTATATCTCATACTTGTGTGGTAGCCTCTCCTTTGGCCCTACACTGTGTGTAAGCCCTTTGCCCTCAGTGTTTACATATGCAGAGCAGGAGGGGCTGACGTATTCCAGCTGTTATAAATGATCTGTTATAAATTAAATCACATGCACTGTGATTTAAAGGCAGATCAGCTAGGTGAAGATATTCCTGGCCCTCCCACCCCCTGGCTCCTGTTTGTGTGTGTGGAGATATTTGCTTATATGAGAACAGCAGGTCGGGCACTGTAAACAAACAGATGTTTTTATATATAACAAGGAATTTAAAAAGTTACCAAGCCACAGAGATGTATTTCCAAATTAAAGAATGGTGAATGAATGTTGTTTATGTACTGATTCCTGACTCCTCCTTCTGTCTCCTATAGATGACTCTTAAGTGGGTATTGAGTAACAAAAGCTCTTTAGTAACAAATCTGTCCTGCAGCCAGAAGCCTGAGCAGGAAGCCTTTGCTGGATCCACATAGCCGCTTCACGTGCTCCTTGCACGTGGAAATTTGCCCCAAACTTGGAGAGGTGTGTGTGCAGGGCCTCTTGAGGCTCTCGCTCCCATCTGCGCCGGTCACACCTGCCAGAGAGCTCCGGATGTGTCACGGGGGAAACCACTTCCCGCCTCTGCAGGAGATGGGGTTTTCACTCGCCTGTTGGTAGGCAGTCTGCTAGTCAGGACTAAAACCACAACTTTAATCACTAGGTTTTTGCCTAGGTATCAGTCTCTGCTAATACTTAGTGCAATGCCATTTGTCCATCTAATGCCTCTGTTAGGTAGGAAGTGTTTTTTCATGTGAGCTTTTCCATGCTTTGCTTTGGAAAACAAAACCAAGCCTTTTAATGTAAGTAAAGCTTACAGAGTCCAGGTAAAAATATCCTGTCTATATTCAGGACTATTCCAACTTGTTACTGCACCTGATGCCAAACCTAAAACTTTAGTTTTAAAATATAAACACCTAATGTACTCTTTTTCTTATATTTTAGTTTACTATGTTCTTATTGCCAACTAAAACATCCTTGTCAGGCATGATTCTTTAATCTCATTTATTTTATGCTGGCAAATCAGCATAATTTCTAATAAGATTATGAAGTAATTTAATTAAGTTTAATTTGTTAACTTGTGTGTGTTGGGGAGATGGGGGCAGAATTGAGTCTCTAAAACGTTGTTAAGCTGAATAAATCTGTGAATAACTAAGTGTCCTCACAGAAATAATGAAAAACTAGGGAAATTATATGGACTTATGCTAGCAGACTGTACAGGTAATAGCTGTTTCTGAAAATGATAGAGCACCTTTCTCTAAATATCAGGAGACATGAAGTGAAATAATAGCTATGGCTAAAGCAGAAAATAAATTACAATGTAGTGTGCGAATTTCATGAATGAGGAGAGGAGGTGCCACCCCGACCTCCCTTAAGCAGATGAGATGCATGTGCACACATTTTTAGTCTCGATTTTCTGTTTTCTATGTTACCTGTGTCAATGCAGACACTGGTGTGCTTTAGCAGGAATTTGGGCAACTTTTCCAGTTGCAGAAAACATCTTGAACTGTCTTGTTGGACAGCATACTAAATGCTAAAAGCAGACATATAGGAAAGTGCCTTAATTCTCTTAATTTATTATTCACTGTTATTCTGAAAAAAAAAAAATCTGTGATGAGCAGGTGGCACCCAGGCGCTTGGTTTCCTGGCTTGCCCGGTTCCCCCATGCTGTGCAGCAGCAGCTCTGCTCTCCGGGGTTTTGCCTCTCTGTGGGCAGTACCAGCTCCCTTTACGGGTGCAGGGACCTGTCTCACGTATCGCTTACACTAACATCCACAGGGCGATCCCTTTGGTGTCTGGAGTTCATTATCCTGCTCAATAATGACCTTAACCTTTGGCTGCAAGGGACTAATTGTCCTCTTATGAGTTTGATCCTCTCGAAATAACCAGAAATCAGGCTACCAAATCCTTGGCTGCCTAGACAGGGGAAGCAGTATCTCCACTTAGGTCAGCGTAACTCATTGCAGGAAAGTAGAGCTCTTGCCTTGCTCTTTGCCATGAATATTTTGAGAAACTGCAATATCGATTAAAGGTCTTAGGTATTTTTGTGATCTTCTCAGCATGCTTCCTGTAGACTTTATCCGCTTTGTCTGGGCAAAGGTGCCAGTTTTGAACAGGTAAGCGCAAAGATAACTACAGCATGAACTGCTTTGGCAGAAGATCTAGAAGATCTCTGTCTCTGATTTAGAGAAATGCATTGTATTTTTTCACAATGTCTCCCAGAAATATGAACTGTTCTTGCATGTTGGAATAGGAGGAGGCCAGACCATTCTGTTTAGGCATATGGAGGACAGCGTGTCTGATAGCAGAACTGCTGCATCCAGTTTTTGAGAAGGTGAATAAGTAATCCTCCTTTAAGTAGGAAGATTGTCTTGAACATTTAGAGCACTGTGTAAATAGGCATTTTGGCTGCCTTTTTTTTTTTTTTTCTGCTAAGAAGTGTCCTTGGAAGAAGTTGGTAAGTGTGTGAAGAGCTGCTTTCCAAGTGTTACATTCCAGGTGTGTTGTAACATCCAGAGTGGGGCAAGTTTGCAGCACAGGCTTGTTGATCTCTTGCCAGAGTTTTATGGACACTGTTCTTATTCCTCCCTATCCCCAGTTGCACAAAGCTGGGTGGAAAACTGGAAGTACAGTGAGCTTTGTGCATACCTGGAGCACTGTGGCGTTAGAGATGGGCCTTACCCTCTGGGTAGACAAGGTGCCTGAAGAGGTAGCAGAGGGAGCAGGAGAAGGAAGGCAGAGTAAAAGACTTAAGAGGGATAAAAAGCCAGAGGAAGAGGTGAGAGTGGGTACAGCTGTCACTTAGTCATGTTCCAGACAGGACTAGGAATTCCTGAGACAATCTCTGTGCTGGTGGTTTCCTCAGCAGTTCCTGCGTCTGCACCTCCTCAGTGGGTTGGTTTTGCAGTTCTGCTCCAAAGCTGTGAGTCCACGGCTAAAAGCAGAGGGAAATGTTTCCCGCTTGTTAAACTTCCAGTGTCTATAGGAAAGACCCTTCCCTTGCTGAGGCCTGATCCCAAGAACAGGGACCTTGACAGCTCTATCGGGTCTCTAGCTCTCTGCCATATGCCAGTGTCCAGTTCTTGCCTCAGTCCTTGCTGTGGCTGTTCCTCTCAGTACCTACCTAATCTCCATGTTCTTCCTGAAACACTTGTTGCCTTTCTTGCCCAGGGGTGGAGGTGGCCAGCTCATGGATTTAATGTGTAATTAAGCACGTCTTAAAAGCGCTTGGAGATTCTTGTGAGTAAGAAGTGTTCTGATAAGCATGAGAGTCTGCTTTCCAAATCCATTATTTCTTGATTATTTATCTTTGTTTTTTTCTTTGACTTTTTCCTGCAGTTTAGAATTTTCCACATGATTTTGTGAAAGGAGCTCAGCTTTTCTTACAAAGCAGTGAAATGCTTTTTTCTGATCCTTTCTCAGATGCAAGTATGGACATTATAGCCTATGATGATTTCTCCAGTCCACCGCTCCAGAGACATTGAAAGGAAGCCCGAGTACCTCCAGCCCGACAAGTGTGTCCCGCCTCCGAGCCGCGCTTCCCTGGGAACGATGTGGTTTATCCGAGATGGCTGTGGCATTGCGTGTGCTGTCGTGACCTGGATGCTCGTGTTTTATGCCGACTTTGTAGTCCTCCTTGTCATGTTGGTTCCGTCACGGGATTACGTTTATAGTGTGATCAATGGCACCCTGTTCAACACCTTGGCTTTCCTCGCTTTGGCTTCGCATTTCCGTGCTATGCTGACGGATCCAGTAAGTATATCCCTCTTTGTATGTCTTGGCAGGAACTGAGTGGTGGGGTTTTTTTGTCTGCTACAGGTTGGGTAACTTGTTGGTTGAGTGAGTGGCAGATTTAAATAATACTTGTGTGTCAGTCTTCTGAGTGAGGCTGCTGGTGGGCTGTGCTAATTTGTCATCCCACTCAAGGCAGGTGTGAAGTTGGGGACCAAGCTTTGGATCCCATTGTGTGAACAGCTCTTCATGCTGAAAAGGAGCATGTTTCTCTCTGACACTGTTTTATCACCGCTGGCAGATCTGTGTTTGGGGCTTGTCATGTCTTGACGAACAGGAAAGCTAGAAAAACTGGTTTTGATTGTCAGTCTTCGCA